CCGTGGCCTCATGGGATAGTAAAGTGTCCACTGAATGCACACTTCAGAATTTAGCCGGAAGTAGGTCATCCGGGTACTTTTCGCCTACTCTTTTATGAATGCCATGAACTCAGACAAACTAGTCCTCTCACATACTCACATCGTTTACTATATAGTATGGAAGTAGGCATATTCAGATGCAGCGAAAATGTTTTTTAGTGCCACTGTACAAACACTAAAACAATATGTGTAAAATAGATTTTTCTGAAAATCTGACTTCTTTAGTTACAGATAAAAAGTTATAGACATGCAAAAGTTTGGGGTCTGTTTTTTTTTTTTAAAGAAATTCAGCAAGGATACATTAAATTGATTTTAAAAAAACACAGTAAAGACATTTATACTGTTGCAAAAAAAATCTATTTAAAATAAATGCTGATCATGTGACACTGAACTTGACTGGATTAAAGGCTGGTGAAAATACAGCCTTGCCATCACAGGAATAAAATACATTGTTGAATATTAAAACAGAAAACAGTTATTTTAAATATTACAGTTTTTACTGTATTTCTGATCAAATAAATCCAGCCTTGTTGAGCAAAGGAGACTTTTTCCAAAAACATTTAGAAAAACCTTACCAACCCCAAATTTGAAAAGTGGTGTAGATGCATAAAAAATAAATAATTATTAATAAATCAATCGATAATAATAATTCAAATCTATAAAAAGACAGATTTTTTGGCTGCCTTCAAAAATCAATCAGAAGGAGGCATGGATGGCAGGATGTTACCCAAACACTGGATTCTGACATGCCTCGATCCCTTCCTTCAGATACTTGACAAAGCAGCATTTTTTTCAGGTCACTGACACAACCACACATTTTTGTTTTACAGTATCTGCAAGCAACCAGTGTGGCCAGCCCTGCCTACTTAACCTTGGCAAAGCTACAGGCCGAATACAGAACAGCGTGTCAGCACCCGCCTCACTCTGCACTGTTAGCGTGAGCATCAGAGCGCTGGAACTGGGCCTGCCAACAGCTGTGTGACGCGCGCACACACACACACACACACACACACACACGCTCACACGGAGTGCACAGGCTTCAATGGAGCAGCCTATTACAGGCACCAAATCAATGAGAAGACACATACAGAGCGAGAGAGAGAAAGCAGGGAGGTGAGTGTAAAGACCGAGGTGAAAATGAGAGAGGGTAAATGCTCTGGGGGACCAGGCCGAGAAACCTCCCTGCAGCTATACAGGCTCTCACACACACACACGTCCTTGTCTACAAGGAACAATGTGTATTGTACAGGGCTGCTCAGTGGAAAGCAGAGGCTTGCTGATGTCATACTGATGTATGCGACTTGCAGCAGTGATATATTTTGGGTGTGTGGTAAGTTGAATAAAGAAAACTGTAAGAGGTCACATTTCACTCTACTCTGATGACGGTCTGAGTCACTGAAATTGAAATATTATACCATATTTCACGAGATAAATGAAGCTTCGAAAAGATTAAAGACTGATATGAAGGGTGTTTTCTCCTTACAATATAACAATGTGCAATGTGTAGTAATGACTGAAATACTTCTGTGTATACATATATAGAGAAATGAGAGCTTGAAATATTTATCAAATTCCCTGAATGAATCAACTTTAAGGCTTATGAACATTTTAAAGCACTGTAGAGTAACTCTGAATTTATACCCAGCAGCACTGTAAAATGCATACATACATATTTATGAATAAATGTATACATAAATAAAAAAGACTACATAGTAATAAAAAATACCTATACCGTGTAAATGAATGGACAAAACGCATAAAAAGTTTTCCGTTGAAAACGTGTCGTGTAAACGGCCCCTAGAATGGAAGGATAACATCCTTTACTGTAGCTCAAACTGTAATTTTGTCCTAGAAAGGCTCAACGTGTTTTCTGGTTTGAAAGTGATGAGAGTGTTTGACGACATTAAAACAGTGGCTGAAATAACACTGATATCTGACTCAACTGCCAGCATCAATTTATCAGCCTCAACATCAAAGTCTGACTAAGGGGGACTTAAAAACGTCCAGATAAGGGAGAGATATGAGCGATATGCTGGTTCACTCAATTGAGTTTGGCTTGAAGCTTTGATATCGAAGAAGAGAGCTTTACTGTAAGTGAAATTCCCATTGTCTCTACTAAGTGTTTGTCCCCAATTCCAGTGATAGAACTGTTGCTGCTTAAAACTAAAAGAGTGCACGGTTTATGTGAAATATTCTGCAGATCGATATTTTTCTTTAGGTAGGTTGGAACAAAAACCCTGATAAAAATGTATCACAGTTTCCACAAATATTTATTACACTGTTTTTACCATTAATAACAATAAGAAATGCACCAAATCAGCATATTATAATTACTTTTTTAAGGATTATGTAAGGATCAAGTAATGGTTGCAGAAGATTCAGAGTTGCCATCACAGGAATAAAATACATTTTAAAATATATATTAAAAAATAATAGTTTTACAATAATACTGTTTTTACTGCATCAAATAAATGCAGCAGTGGTGAGCATAAGACATTACAATATTAGTCGTTTTAATATACAGTACATTGACTTCCAGTTAATTTCTGTTTTCCATTTTGTCTGTGAATTTGTATTTCATTTTTTACAGTAATATATTAAAATATGTATTACTTTACCATATATTTACTCTAAAATAAAATTCGCACAAAAAAAAATGTCAAACAGTTTCTAATTTGTTGATAAAGTTGTCTGTATGCTGAGAACTGAAATCGGCCAAATGGATATGCTTATCAGCTGATGTGAATCATCTCAAAATGACCAAAGATTGGCTGATATATTGGCCCATTATAACACAACACACTAACATTTCTTCCAAAGGCCCTTGGTCTCTACTGCCAAATTATACATCTGCTTCATTCACACCAACACAGGAAAGAACTTGAAATTTAGATTCAAATCTGACTTGCTTTTCCAATTCAACAATCTTATCAAATTTAGCATGCTAATAATAAGACAGATCTGGGAGAAGAACACTGAGCCAAGAGACTGTCAACATGGGGCCTTTGGTTTTCATTCAGGCTAAAGGCTAAGACAACAAGGCTTTCCTTTTTCTATAAAACTGCGTGCTAGCCTAACAGAAAATACACAGCGATCTTCCCCGATTATGATCATTCACGCTCGATCCCTTACAGCACTTTACCCTAAAACTAATAAGTGTCATCAATCTGCAGCCAGATCATTAGCAAATTACTGACAACTGTTGTGTTATGTTTAATGCTGTTGCACAAGTCCAATGTTCCTCCAGGAACGCTCCTTAGGGGAGCCTCTCGCTTTGATAAGCAGCCTGAGCTTCTTTTGCAACAATTTCCTCTCCAGCACTCAATTCGAATTTCACTGGCTGATGAAATCTGGGATCAACAGCAAACCCCGAACAAGCCAATTTCACTGGCTCACAAATGCTATGAGTGTTGAGGAGGACTTGCTGAATGCATGGGAGAGTCCCTGAGGATTTCCTTGCTCCATCTAATCTAATGCCACCCCAAGCCGGAAGGAAGCGTTGAGGTACATTGATTCACACGCTACAACACTGCAGCACTGAGCGAGGATCTAATTAAGCCTGTTAATAACCTAGTGTTGAAACACCCATACATGTTCAACCGAATGGATACTACAAGCAGTCGTTTTTCCATTTCAACTTGTTTCGCAATACAACGGTGCCCACAAATTGTTACTAATAAAGATCTGCTTCACAGGTGTTCTGAAGACCCATCCTTTAAGAGTATCTATCACAATGATGTAGAGATCCCCGCCTCTAAACTGATGAAAAAACATCCACAATGTCACACTGAAGTGTCAAGTAGACAGATAGTACGGATATACGTCTTATTTTTGCCACTTGGCACTTGAGCAATAAATCAGCAATCTCAAGATGATGTAAAGGTCTCTCAAAGTTTAAGGTTTGATGTTTTACTGTACAGCATGTGCGATTTATTTATGGGCATCACTTAAAAATAAAAGGCATGCTGGTTGTGACATCATGAAATCCAAAGGCTTAGTTTATGAATAATAGTTATGCACAAATACTTTTACAGCAGTGTCGATAAAGTCTATGTGAGTGAGGTATAGAGAAAGAAATCAGGTTCGTAGTAGAGAATTTGTTCATTTCAAAATCAAAACTGAAATGTAAACAAGAAAATTAATATTAGAAATTTCCCCCAAAAAATGTCAAAACATCATTCAGCTCATTAATTATTCTTGCTTACAAACTCAAGTGTTTGAACAAACCTGTGACATATTTCATTCGATATCTTAATCTACCAGTATCTCAGGATAAAAACAAAAAAACAATAATAAATAAATAAATAACTTGTTAGTCTAGCAGTTACAATTTACACTTTAAGTGCTTTAAGTTCTTAATCTGCCCTATTAATAACCTTTTAACTTTAACAGGACAGATGAATTTAATTAAAAATAAATAAATATCATTGCCACTTTTTATACATCTTTACATCAATAAGCTATTTTATGAAGTGGTGTAGATAAAACTGGCCATGGCAAAAAAAAAAAAGGGGGAGGAATAAATTACTAATTGTTTAACGCGATGTTGAAAGCATTCAAAGGTACATCCCTGATTACACAATGCCCTTGAACATAAATTGAAAAGCTTAAAAATAATCCACATAATCCAAAAATCAGCAGCCCTAGAAAAAGTAAAAAAAAAAAAAAAAAAAAAAATTGTCAGTTTCCTACAAATCCCCAATGAGGGAAACAGATTACAAGTCTGTGATGGGACAATGAGGATGTCCATCCAAGAAGCTAATGCGAGTCTGAGACACGGCACGGAAAATGTGAACAAAGATGCATGACTCAGTCATGGGAATGACATGTCTGTTAAATAATGTGCATCGCATAGTTTGACATGGCAATGAGAAATGCAGTTCTCCGAGCATCTACTACAAGCATCATGGTGACAGCAGATGAGCCAAGATCCACAGAGAGGGTGTCCTCTCCTGACCTACCTGACATTTGATACACACAAGCCCTCACTTTCATGCCTGTGGGAGGGAAAAAAACAGAGAGTTAGAAGTTGAAATTTTGAAAGGCAGTGAAAACCTTGACATATTAAACTTCCACCAAAAAAATCCTCCTTGTACCTAAAGAACGATATCCGTCTCATTGTTTTTACACTCTAAATTTGACTTGCCTTGAGTGACGCATAAAATAACATTCATGATTCTTATGAACTCATTCACTCAAGTGAATTAAAAACACACAGTACAAGTATAGTATTGATTGACAAACAAATTACTCTTGAGTTGGCTTAGAAGTTAACACAAACTTAGAAGTTACCATTGACGAATCCCTTTCAGAATGAACTCACGGAATATTGTACATGTTGTCTTAATAACAGTTTGAATATTATATTTGCTAATAAATAGCAACTGAAATGCATATGGCAGAAAAAAACATTATAACTAATGACAAAATGAACAAATCAATCAGAATCAAATCAATTCTGCCATATTATATTACTTTTCTTTCTGAAACAGTTCATTAGGTTTAAAAATATTGTTTTAAAGACAAAGGAAATGTATATTATATGTCTACGAAATGATTTTTTTATTGTATAGTGTATAATACATGATTGACAGATCAGCTGTAAACAACCCAAGGACATAGACATAGATCCCTGTCACATTTAAAAAATTAAATTCTGTTGTTACACCTTTTCTAAGAGGTAAAGAATCATTTATCATTCTCTAAACGCCCAGTGGCGATCCGATTCTATACCAGCAGGCTCTCCATATGTGATGGAAAGCTCTAATATTCACATTTGCAACTGGCAGATTACCTCAGGCATCCCCTATCCCAAGCCCTTGTTTAATAATTCACAAGTTTACCTTTGAGAAAAAGGCTTTTTTAGAAACTCTACGGTTCTCATTGGACTAAAAGTGCCAGCAGCTTCGCTCTCAGACAGATGTCAGAAAGCTTTTGGACAGAAAACTGGTTCTGATCCCATTACACAACAAAGCGGTCACACTAAATGAAAACTGTGTTGAGCCAGAGAGCTGAGGTAACCACCACTGTGTTGATGTTGAGAGTGGATGATATTGACATATCCTGCAAATATCAAAAAGCTGTGTAGTTCCCATGAATTTGAAATGTGCTTTCCTATTATTGGTGCTCATCTCTTTTACTTCCACTGCTGCGTTGTTGCTATTCCAGGTTGATGGCAGATTTCAAATTTTATTTGTTTATTTTGCTTCTGCTAATTATTGGCACTGCTAACTGTAAGTTCGGCTGAAAACACACCACTCGGCATTTACTAATTAAGCAGTCACATATATATATTATGTAAAAAAAAAAAAGTTGCAAATATTCCTCGTTTATAAGTACAAAGAGATAATAAAGCAGCCCAAGTGGGTCATAGGTGTTTCATTATAAGGGTTTCGCGAGTGTTAGTCTGTGATAGTGCCAGGCTAATATAATGCAGTAATAGGCAAATTAAGCAATTAGGCAAATGAGGCAATGCAAGAGAGAATAAGAAGATCCACAATGCCACAAATGCACCTATACTTTGCACTAAATTGCTGTTACCTTTGTCTAACCTGTCAAAATGAACCATACTGATCTCACATTATTGTACTCATGAATACTTTCATTTGTTGGTAATATGTCAAGCCAGTATATGGTCTAGAGTAAAAAACCGAATCAACTTAATAAATAATTAAAATATTATATTTTTAAATAAATTAGAGCTCAACAGTGACCAGACTTTTCAGCTTCCTTGATAACAGTAGTATTACAATAACAATGGTAACAATATTAAACTATTTACTGACTTACAGTCTTTGCTTATATTGATAAAAAAATATATATAGATAGACATAGACAGATGTTTTTTTTAAGAAATTGTTATAAAATATTTTTTTCATCCTTAAAAAATTATGTTTTCTGAATCCTGTGGCTATTAAAGTGTTATGTCACTTAGTACTGGAGCAATGGCAACTTTAAAATATATTACAATAGAAACAGTTGTTTTAAATGGTAATAACATTTCAAAATATTACTGTTATTACTGTATCTTTGATCAAATAAATGTATAAGAAACTTCTTTCAAAAACATTCATATTAAAATTCATACCAACTTCAAACTTTTAAAGTGTAGTGCAGTTTGAGATTGTATAGGACGGACTCAATTAAATATTTTAAGTTTATTACAAATAATATATAACTCAGAGCTCATTGTAGATCAGCCTTGAAAGGTTTAAACACTGAAAATCAATTTCTCTATGGAGAAAATGAATGAGATTGTATTCTGGAACCCTGTTGTACTCTCTACAGCAGCAACAACAACAAACAAACATCCCCCTATGAACGTTCAAACCAAACCGATGCCACTGCACTCGACTGAAACATCTTGAAAGTCACAATAGGAAACCTAAAACCTCTGCCAGACAGTTGGATAGAAGACATGACCTGTTTATTCTTGACAGGGGAAAAAAGAACAACAACTCTTTACCATTCAATGCTCTCAGTAGACAGCTATGCAGACGCAATTTTTGTTACTTTAAAGGGAGAAGGTAAGCAAGCATACTATATGCATCTTTAAAAGGCCACTGAACTGAATAGGAAGCTCTAACAAATTTAGGACAGTCAATTTGATGGACCCGAAGTCCTGCAGTCAGGGTACACAAATAATGCTTTTCTTGTCTGATGTCTTTGAGTAGATGGTGTTTTTTTTTTTAGAAGAATGGTCTTTGTTTTAAATAGTTTGAATCACGTAAATCAAAAAGAGTCAAACTATGATTTCAACTTAAAACTAGGGCTGGGTATTGACACAAATTTCATGATTTACTTCGATTTCGATTCACAAGCTTGTGATTTGATTCAAGTCTGATTTTGAATCAATTCGATTTTGATTCAGTATGTATGCCAAATTTTCCAATACATGACATTTTTCAACTGCTGTAAACTATTCTATATTTTATAATAATATAACATATAATAATATAATAAAATATAATAACGCTTTTTATTTACAATTATGTTTTTTTTAAATATTAACATTTAAATGGTGGCTGTTGTAAAACCATGATGAATTTATTGAAACATTAAATTGAAATAACGTAAGTAAAGATACAAAGAATAAGCAAGAAATTAAAGCTTTATAGCATCTTTTAAAAACAGTGTTTACAAAGTGCTTTACAGAAGAGATATACATGTGTGCATTCAAGAGAAACACATACACACATACTGTAATAGAAATAAGATAATAAAAAAATACAACAATAAAATAAATCAAGGAAAAGCCTAGTGAACAAATGTGTTTTGAGATACTGCATAGTGAGTATATGCATTATAGTGCAATTATTACTTAGCAAAATTTTCCATTTTAGAGTTCCTTTTTTTCTAGCTGACTAATGAGTTTATGGACATTAAATGGCTTTATCAAATGTAACTGTGATGTATTGTTTATTGTAGCCGATGACAGTCTGTTGATCACGTGAATGCAATGATCTCGTCATTGCAAAACGATTTGTGCACTCTCCCGAATGCTTTAACCATATATAACAATGCAAACATGATGCAAATATAGCAAGTGGTTTATTGTCCTTGTCTCCCGATTATAACGGGAGTTTTGGCAAGTGTCCAGACAAACTCGCACTGTGTGATCGACAGCTCCAGGCATTATAGAGTGTTCTTTGATCGCTTTCTGTATATAATTTAATCACAATTTAAAAACGCATAAATACTCAGTACATATCAAAAGATCTGTAATAACAGACAAAGCAATAGTGACCACGTGATAAAACAGTTACTCACAATCGTGTGGTGCAACATTACTGTCGGATCCAAAATTGTCGGCACAGCTTCATCTTTTAGTTTCAATCTTTCTGAAAATCGTGCCTGGTTTGTGAACGAAACCGCGGTAAAATGAAGTTAACAAAAGGACCAAGCGTTTGCCTCTCTCGATATTTACCTACTACATGTGCGAATCGGTGGGAGGGGCTAAACAGGCAGTGATGTAGAAGCAGCGTTGATCTTCTTCTGCGGAGGCGGTGTTTAGACACACTATTACGTAATAGTGGCACATTCCACAATTTCCACAGATTGGCTTCATTATAGGCTGTTTTTTGACTAACGAGAAAGTTTTAAATTCTGAAACTTACAGGATGTTTTTATAGTACTTCCTCTTATATATGTCAAAAGATCAAGGGAATTTTAATTTCTCAGTTCATGTCCCCTTTAATCCACCAGATACATTTGAAAACAGCATTTTCCAAAAGTTTCTCGTCCACTGTGAAACGTCAGAAAATGCTAAATCCACCTAACTGCGCATGCGTAAAACCTCATGAAAGCTAACTGATATGATATAGACGGAACAATACATAATAAAGGTATCACACAATTATTCTATTTAGCAAAATATCTCACCGTTCACTGATGCGTCCAGGTCACACTCGGTCACCACTATATGTTTGGTCTAAAACACAACTACTCTCATGTTTTGCAGCAGCAGGACAGCAAATGTGAGAACATTATCTGTCATCATTGCAGGACTGTGATATGAAGAGTGTGCAAAGAAACACATTTTAGCAACTGTGAAAGTGAATAGGAATTTAAGAATCAATACCGGTTCATCAAAATGACAATCTATTAAAATCAAGAATCTATATTTTTAAACCAGCCCTACATAAAACAGTGCAGTTACTAAAAAAAAGGTTTATTCAGCCAATTTAAGCACTTAATTTGGTGCTTGGGGAATGTCAATTTTGGACCCTGCCTGCCGTTCAGTTACACCTAATGCACCTACTGTTTTCGAGCACTGAGTTTTAAGCTCCAAATATTCAAAACAAAATTAATAAGCATCACCAAGTTCAGTGCAAATGGAATTCCATCTTAATATTAAAAGCCAGGGAAAAGGTCTTACACGGGGATACTGAATTCTCAAGATCATCAAAAGAAAGTCAGGGAAATCAGATCAGTTAAGACAGCAGTTAAAAAAAAAAAAGAAGAAAAGAAAGAAAGAAGAAGTTCAGTGTACTGGGGC